TTATGTAAGAAGGCATACATTATGCATATGAGGTTGTCTTGTAAGTCCAGCATATGCAGTTGAGGGCAGGGTACACTTACTTGCATAATCCAGCCTAGTTTCTAGGCCAATAATCTGTTTTATCTGGTGCCCATATGGTACAGTCAAATCTGGTTAATATAGCTATTTGATTGTAACCTCCTCAACAGTCTCATTAAAATACATGTGAATCAATAGTACATCATATCACTCCTCCCTCTCACCAGCAGGACCAGCTCTGTGAACATGTCTTGCTTGATGCTCATTGCTGTCGTGTTGGAGATGAGTCATCTTGCATTGTAATTTCACCAGGCATCACCCAGAAAATGAGAGAGAAGCAAATCTCCTTTGCTTCCCATCTGGGCATTTCCTGTCATCTCGAGTTGTGTTGCAATAGCATAAGCAAGGCCATTTGCAGAATAATGCTATGAAACAGGGGCATTACAATGAAACAGCAATGTCCAGTGACATCATCAGGCAGAAAGAGCCACAGGGAGGGATTCCTCATAGTGACCTAGATAACAATCACAAGGAGAATAGCCCCTGGCAGCAAGAGAAAGGACTGGGGATGGAGGGAGGCAGGACTTCTACTTGCTGATGTGATCAAGCACAGACTCATCCTCAGGATGCTGGGGAGAGGCAGGTAATTATATTCACTATAGATTTCTTGAGCCAAAATGTGGAGATGTATAGTAATGAAGAATATGAATTAGTCACTCACAAATATTCTTTTCCCAGATGATTCAAGTGATGCTTGTGCCTGGGAAAGCTGGTCTCCCCCAAAGTGTAAAAAAAATCATGTCTTTTCACTTTTTGTTCCCCTCAGACATACAATCCTCCACCCTCTACTACACAGACCTCTGCTCCTGTTGGGCTCTTTTCCTTGGGCAGCCAACCTTCTGGTTTGAGGCACTAAATCGCTGGTATGGAATACACACATGTCCCCTGGTCAAAGAACTTCACTGAGTTCAAGTATGTTTGGGTTTAGGGAAGAGGCTGCAGATTTAACAGGGCAGATGCTTTCCAAGAACTTTCCATTAAGGGAGTGGGTGTGAGAACCAGTGCAACTCCAAACAGGAGTGGATGTTGGGCTAAGGGTGCACTTGGATGCAAGCCTGGGTCCAGATGTTTAGCACCAGTGACCATTAGCTAAGAATAGACTGTATGTAGCAGGACAGCACAAAGAATGGCATATGTTTTCTGCATATGTATGCATGCCAAAAAGCAGGGGCAAGCGCTGAAGGTTTTGGTTTTTGGTTCTAAGCAGCAGAGCTGCAACTGTTGTTGCAGACAATAGCTGGCATGGTCACTCAGGATATTGGCCTTCCTGTGTGGTGTAGAGCACAGTTCTGTGATGGCTATACATTGTCAACACATTGTGTGGGGAGAGGTGATTTGCTTTGGTGACTGATGGAGTGTCTGGAGAACGAGTGGGTTAAGAATCGTGAAAGGTGTGTTAAAGCTGACAGGGCTATTTCAGTGTCAGTACCCTGTCTTGGGTGGGAGGATTGGACCTAGATGAACAACACCAACAAATGATATTTTATGGAAGGCTTTACCAGTGCACCTCTCTTATTGTTGGGGCTCCTTTCAGGTTACTGCACTGCTAAAATAACACCTTTTCATGTCCCCCTCTCAAAACCTCATCTTTCTGAGAGCCATCAAATTATTAGTGGCCTGGTAGCATACATAATCAGATGAACCTTGGTATATCTCTGGCCAATCTGTCTAAATTTCCATACTGTGCACATGACATTTTTTAAACACACAGGTTGGCGCATGTTTTGCATATCATCTTCAATATAGTTCAGGTTTCCAGCTTGGCTATTTTTTTAAGTATAAGTTCCCAACTTTGCCTTAGGAGGCAGCGTGCATTTTGGAGTGCAGAGTGTTTTGTTATTCATGTGCCTCGTATATATGCAGTCATATATGTCTGCAGCTCAGCTCTCTGTAGCGGTGTGCTTGTATGGTACACAGTTGGTATGAATGCAGATAGTGCTGTCTGGTCTTGCTGTACTCCCCTATCCATTTATCTGTCTGGTTCAGGTACTTGTAGGACACCAATTACCATCCTATCTAGGTGCCAAACACATTAAGATAAGGGAACCAATCAATCAGGATGGACACTAAAGGGACTCTGTCCTTGCTATCAAGTTGATGCTGTTAAATATAAGGAATAATATCACTGGTAGAATGAGATACATTAATTTGAGGAGGTGTTGAATGGTGTTCTGTTAGCAGCTCAGAAATTTACTTTGCTGACCAGCAACAATCTTGCTATTGCAGCTCTCGGCTTCTTTTGAGCAGACTGCCAAGTATTCATTCCCCAGGCGCATTACAATATCTATATAAAGGCTAGGTTTAAAAATAATACTTTTGTACCTCAACTTAGATGAACTTATTTTGCCATGGAAAACTAAATATGAAGACTTTGTTGATATATGTTCCCACTGGAAATACTTATCTGCATGCACTATGTGCTTTGCAAAATGCATTGTGCACATCTTGATAGTCTGTGACTATATGAGATATTTGAAAGGAACTATTTTGGTTGGACTAGAAAACTATTTGTAATATGGTAAAGTATAAAAGCAATCTCCATGGCAATGAGATTTGTATCATCATATATTTTAGATATAATCAAAATGGACTTGTTTTGTGATTTTTTAATTTTTTCCTCCATTTTCACTGATGTTCAAAACATTTGATAAAATGTATGACAGACTTCTGCAGGGATTTAGGTTGTAGCCGTGTTGGTCTAAGGATATAGGCAGACAAGGTTCCTTGGGTGAATTTGATATCTTTTATTAGACCAACCCAAATGGTTGGAGAATAGTTATAAGCAAGCTTTCGGGTTCAAAAACCCTTCGTCAGGCTCAGGGAGCTGCAGCAGTTGGTGTATCAGACTTCTGGAAACTAATACTGCTGTATTATGTCCTTCTCTATGGGTGCATCTACACATCACCCTACGGTGATGTTGTTAATGTGCCGTGTTTTAGTACTTCCTTTTGGAATTACTAAAGCACGGCACAGTAACTGTCCATACTATGCCACGTGTTTGACATATGATTAGTTTTAGCTGCTACTTTGCCGTAGTGGTGCACTAAAATGGGGGAGTGTGTTGCTATGGTGAAGTAGCTGCCAGTCATGTGTAGACTCACGTGATAGCTACATCGCCATAGCTTGTCATATGGCAACATAGCACATTGCTACAGCAACTTGGGGTGATGTATCGATGCGCCCTATCTTTTATATGTGAATGGAGAAAGGAACAGCTGTACACAATAAATACTATAGTCCATCAAATCTTTACTGTTTCTCATTGTGATGTGTACTATCTTCTTTAGAGTACCCTGAGGTGTCATGTGTGCACATTAGAAAATTGATATCTAGAAAAGCAGTAAAGCTGATGGTTAGTCTCTCATCAACTAAAGCTGAAATCCTGGCCCTAAAGAACTTCAGGGATTTTTTGCCATTGACTTCACTGAATCCAGGATTTAAATGGAAAACTTTTAGGTGAAGGTTAGGCAAATGTTTCTGGGATGCTTTAAAAAGGGATGATCCTACCCTGAGCCAGGGTTGGTATAGAGGACCTTTCAAGGTCCCTTCTAGCCTTGCTTTTCTATGATTACTCAACTACTATTCAATTTCTTAAATAGGAAGAGAAAGATGAAATAAATGTTTTTAAAACACAGGTGTCTTTATAGATAATCCAACTATTAATAAATAGAGTGCTAGCAGATGATGCTCAAAACACAGAACACTAGGTCCTACAGACCTACCCAGGGTGATAAAATGTATCATTATGTACAGCAAATGGCTTCCTGTACATAGCTCATGCAGCTCATAACTGTAAGAGAATCAGTACTTAGGGAATTATCCTCCTTTTCCCCTAATAATTAGGAATGGTTTAGGCCCTGAAGAACGAGCTCTTATACTCTTTTCAGAACTCTTTTTAAAAGTTTTATTATAATTCTATCTATTTTTGTTATCCATAGAAATATAAAACTTCTCTGGTAATCTGGCTAAATTCTTGACCTCAATGACATCCTGTGACAATGAGTAGCATAGGTTAATCATGAGTTGTAGATCATATTGTGACAGGAGGCCACCGAAGAATGTGTGGTATAAAGGCATTACTGCTATATATCTAAGATACTGTACTGTTCATGAATGGCAGTTGACTGCAATTTGTGCAGCTCATACCAAATGCGTATCGATAAAACCTTTATTACACACAGTAGCATCACATGTTCTATATGTGCTATATGTTTTATAGAAGAACTATTTGGGGAATGTTTCAGCAGAGAAATCCTCAGGGATGCAGGAGTAATTCAGATAAACCATTGAATAGTTTTGCCTGCTGATGACTGTAGTAAGTGCTCCAAATGATGAATAATGTAAAGTGATAAACTATCCAATGCAAAGAAGAGGTCAAGATGCATATATTTCCATTCTCCTTCCAACCATTGCATGTTCTTTATTAAGCAGAACATTAAATTAGATGAGAACAACATTTATCTCCTAAAATTCAATTTTTCTGAGCAAGTATTAGATAAAGTCCAGTCCTACTCTTTGCCTGATTTTTATCCAATTATTAATGCAACGGCTATTGTGAATTGCAAATGGTAGAAAAAAAAAACTATGGAACATTAATTTGGATTCAGAATAAGGCATCCAAAATTGCTGAATCAAGACCTTTATTTCTCTAAGCTGAGTGCTTAAACACATGCCTACCTTTAAGCATATCAGCAGCCAACAGAGTGTATGTTTCAAGTCAGGCATGTGCATAAGCATTGTGTTAAAATAGGGACAAAATACTGTTTTCCACATCAAACAATGACCAAAAAGCAAAGCCAACCAAATCAAACCAAACTGAAAGGTAAAAGTAACCATGAAAGCTTTGGTTCAGAAGCAATGTTTGCTTGAACATGACATAATCCACTTAGGCTTTTTTCAGTCACTTTATTATTTATTGCTTGGTATCAAAAGAATCAAACTGACATTGATTAAAGGCCATTGTGAATTGTAGTTACTATTCATATCATCCTTCGAGTAGTATGATGTATGTTTTATGGAGAAACTGAAATCATAGGAAGAGATTGCAGTACGAGGGGAATCACAGTATGATGCAATTATGTAAACAGTAGCACACATGTATAGAGTAATACAGTTCGGGTTTAACAGGCCAGGCCCAAGTAACACATATTTTTGTTATAACAAGCATTTGAGAGGTGTTTTTATTAAAGTATTATTTGGATTGGTTACTATGAAATAAAAATATTATAAAGTAGGGTAGAGTAATGACACTTCTAATACTTCTTTTTTTTGATCTCTAAGGCGTATGTTTCCTTTGCTTCCCCATTGGTTACCTTGCAAAGCGAGCTGAGTGAAAGAAAAAGACCATTTATAAATAAATCTCTGGCAATCCCACTAAACATGTTATGCGCTAGGATGGTTTTGGTTGGACAAAGGGATGCTCGCAATCAGTATAAATGACATAAGCTGTAAAGAGAAGGATTCAGCAGTTGATACCCCTAACTCTTACTTGTTAATGAGAAACAGATGAGAGCTCACAACGTGTGGCTTTTATCTCACATACAGATCTGCTGTGTGGACCCTTGAGTCTGTCTAGAAGCATACAGGCCTCAGGAAGCCTCTGCAGGGGCTTAGGATTTCAACCCACATGCCAGAGCAGGGCCATCCTACATGCCAGACTAGGGCCTAGGGCTCCAGATGCAAACTTTCTTGATGTTGAGACATAGGCCTTTGTGATTCAGCCTATTTTAGACACAGTGGCCACCTGCAAAGCTCAAATGAAAATCTTGCTTCCATGTAGTCTGGGGAGTGCTAAGGCCTTGATGTTATGATGTGATTTGCATTGGAGAACCTTATGTTTTTAAAGAGACCCACTAAAACTAATGGGTTTTGCTTGGGCACAAGGGGTTCATTCTGCACCCTTCAGCGGAATTTTTCAACATTGGAGACAGCGTGATACAGACTGTCACCCAAGCACTTTCTTAATGGGCATTTCTGCAACTTCATTGGACTTAAGCATGGGGGATTTCATCTAGGCAGAATTTGGCTTAGTGTACATACAGCTGAACCCTAAGTGCTGCTATCTAGTCAATGGCAGGATTAAGCGCAATTAGAAGACAATCCAGTTCTCTCACTCGCTCTGAGCTATACATTCACTTACAACATGTTAGTCACTATCAGTTTCACTCTTAGCAGGGCTTAACTGACCATCTTCCTTTATTATTAATAGGACTGAGATATAAAATCTTTCCAAATGTAAGAAACACCAGAAAAATATAAAACTTCTCAAGCATGTGGCTCTCACCCAGCTCTGAGCATTTTGTCACTTCTATCCTTAGATAAAGGAGCAGGGAACTTGGAGGAATACATCCAGTCAGACATTCTGAAGAGGAGGAACTCAGCTAACTCCATCAGGTAACACAACAGTCATTACATCCAACATGTGCTGACAGTTTTGTTCGTATACAGACAAAAAACAAGGGACATGTAAGCTGAGGCTGCTCTTTCATGCATTGCAGTCGCAGAGAAAGAGAAAGCCATCGCTGTCCAGACCAAAGTGCACTTCTCAGATTGACGTTTACACAATGTCTCCAAACTGCTTTGTTATGAGACTAAACATCTGGATTAAACGCTGTACTGATTGTGGCTAATACTGTGGACAAAACTCTAGAGCCACACTTTACTAACAAGCATCAGACTGCAGTACAAGGACCTTTTCTTTTTTCCACTCACACATCAAACAACAATACAGTTCAACAGGTTTCTTAGGAGACAAGGACGGGATGCAAGTTTAGTCCTTCAGAACGGCTGTCTGTCTCCATCAGGGTATTAATAACTGTCTTGCCCTGAAAATCAGCTAAGGCCAAACACGTCTTACCTTATTCCTTTTAGCTTCCCTGATCCCTTTTCCCCCTTGGAGGTTTCCTGATACATATTCTTTGAATCAACCCTCTTTTTATTTTATTTTTTAAAATAAAATCTTGTTGTTACTTTAACAGTCTAAATGTCTTTTCATTGTTGTTGCAGTTGTCTCATTATTCCCTGAACATCTGCAAGACAGCCCATCTGGGTTGACACAGTGTGAGATGAGGGAGACAGGCATTGCCAACAAAGCTCTCCTACTGCCGCAAGTGGAATGTTGAAATCAGATGTTTTCTAGGACGTCTATGGGGACGAAGCCTTTCTTCTTCCCGCTGTACACTTTGATAAAGCCATCGTGCTCCTTTTCAGATGTCACACAGATCTGAATTCAAAGAGGGTGAGAAATGCTCAAATACATGCTTTGCCATGACCAAAAGTCACTTTATTCTGGGAGCAAACAGCTACTGCGAGGTTGAGCTGTCTTGCTTATATAGCCTCTAAAGAAAACTGTCTTCTTTCCACTTCTACTCAAATTGTAAAACAACTTCCAGCTTTATATAAAATATAGTCAAGGGCTCTTCCTCCCCCCACCCCAAGTGTCAATATTGCAACTCTTATTTACATCGCTTGGAGCTCTCTCAGATCAAGACTTACTTTACAGCATGCACTAGCAGTTAGACCTAAACCCTATTTCACTGTAAGCATCCAAATGGTGTGTACACAGTTACATAACCATAGTTTGGGGTATTTGCCCACAGTTTGAGATTCTATTCTCCCCTGGTGAAGTACAATTGTGCTGCGTGTGTGCAGACATATTCATGAATAGGAGGGTCTACTGCAGTGATAGAATCAAAGGCCTCTCAGGGAAAAGCATGGGATGCCAGCCTGTCTAAACTCTCACTGAGCAGTTATGTTTCTGTGTAGGCGGGAGGGGGAATATGCTTCCAATATTTGAAATATTTTGTTAGAGGGCACAAAATGAATAACCATGGCCACTTGTACACATGTGGGGAAGCTTGCTTCGACATGCTGGAAATCCAGTGCATTGAAGTAGACTTGATTAATTGAGTCTGCTGGAGCACATAAATTGATGTGCTTGGGCGGTCTCGCGCATCACATGTATCAGAAGCACAATGCGTTTCTGTGATGACAAAATGGTGGAGGTGCGCTCTCAAATAAAACATGTTTGATATGCTTTGGTTTAAAGCACTCCGCTGTCATTTTCTCATGATGCACAGGTGCTTTTAATTAGTACAGCTCACTAATTAAAAGTGCCTGACGCTGCATTGGGAGCACATGTAAAAATGCCCCACGACACTAAACCACACTGCCAATATTCCATTACTGCAGTCAACACGCCTGTTCATTAATAAGTTTTGAATTCTGTTTGACGCAGTAACTGAACCATTTTTAGCATTATTATTATTATTGTTGTTGTTGTTGCCTTATAGTAGTGTCTAAATGCATCATCTGGCAGTAGGTTTCAATTCTGCTAGGTGCCGTACATACACATAGGTGTGCTCAATGAAAGTAATCTGTGCAGTCAGAATAGGGAGGTTTTAAGAAGGGAAGAATGCGAAAGAAGGTGCATCATAAAACAGATACTTTGTCATCTGCTGCCACATTTTATAGATGAGGCTTGGAACAACAAACAGGTTTGGTGGTTTTCCATTAAGCAAGGTTTTTCTTCTTGAATGAAGTATATGTTGGATCAATCACCTGTGATACTGAATTCTTGGTATATAAAAACCCATGCACTAAATAATGATTTAATGTACATGTTATGGATTGGGTTAAAGCTCACTGAACATGAGGAAAGGTCATCATTGCTGTAAACAAACAGTCGATCTGCTTTTATGGAATCAGAAAGCTAAAAGAATAACAGATTCCACTCCAATCTCAGGCACAGGTCACTGCTCAAGGCAAAGAGCATGCAAAGAGCTAATGCATGGATTGGTTTAGCTAGCTATGATTTATTAAGAAATTGTATGTCTGTAAGAGATAAGAGAATGGCCAGAGGTCTGCCAAGAAGCACCCTATAATTCATGATAATCAAAACAATAGGAGGACAGCAATGAGAAAAGACATGGAGAAAAGAGCTATTTGGGCTGAGTAGTAGCTGAAAGGAGCTTGGGAGTATGAACAAAAGCATTGATTTCATAGATTTCATAGACATTAGGGCTGGAAGGGACCTCGGAAGATTGAGTCCAGCCCCCGCCTGAAGGGCAGGAAGTCAGCTGGGGTCATAGGATCCCAGCAAGATAAGCATCTAATTTACTCTTGAAGATGTTCAATGTAGGTGCTTGAACCACCTCCGATGGCAGGCTGTTCCAGACCTTGGGGGCTCGGACAGTTAAGAAATTCTTCCTTATGTCCAACCTGAAATGGTCTTGCAGTAGTTTATAACTGTTCGACCTCATCGTCCCTTGGGGCACTCTGGTGAACAAACGTTCCCCCAGATACTGATGGTCACCCCCTGATAAACTTATAGGTGGCCATCAGATCACCCCTGAGCCTGTGCTTTTCCAGGCTGAAGAGCCCCATGGCTCTCAGCCTGTCGTCGTAGGGTCTGTTTTCCTGACCTCTGATCATGTGCGTGGCTCTTCTCTGGACTCTCTCAAGCTTCTCCACATCCTTTTTGAATTGTGGGGCCCAAAACTGGACGCCGTACTCCAGCTGTGGCCTCACTAAGGCCGAGTACAAGGGGAGAATGACATCCCGGGATTTGCTTGGGAAGCATCTATGGATGCAAGCCAGCGTTTTGGTCGCTTTACTAGCCGCAGCATCACATTGCAGGCTCATGTTCATCTTGCGGTCAATGATGCCCCCCAAGTTTCTTTCTTCTGTAGTACTAGCCAGTGTAGCACTGCCGAGCCTATAAAGATGCTGCGGGTTTTTCCTCCCAAGGTGGAGAACCTTGCATTTTTTGGTGTTAAACACCATCAGGTTCTCGTCTGCCCATTTGCTGAGCCTGTCCAGGTCAGACTGCATCACCCTCCTGTCTTCAGGTGTGGATGCTTTGCCCCAAAGTTTGGTGTCATCGGCGAACTTGGCCAGTCCACTTCTGACTCTAATGTCCACATCATTAATGAAGATGTTGAACAATATGGGTCCAAGGAAAGAGCCTTGGGGAACCCCACTGGTCACAGGACACCATGACGACTGACTTCCGTCAATTACTACCCTCTGGGTCCGACCATGGAGCCAATTTCCCAGCCAGTGGATCGTGGTGGACCCAAGGCCACAAATGGCCAGCTTTGCCAAGAGGTGATCATGGGATACCAGACTGAAGGCTTTTTTGAAGTCAAGATATATGACATCAATCTCTTCTCCCTTGTCCAGGTGATAGGTCACCTGGTCGTAAAAGGAAATGAGATTGGTCAAGCAAGACCTACCCACAACAAACCCATGCTGGCTATCCCTCAGGATGTTGGTGTCGGCCAGTCCATTAAGGATGGCCTCTTTAATAAACTTTTCTAAGACCTTCCCTGGGATAGAGGTCAGGCATCTTTCTTGTTGTTTCATTCTTTGTTGTGTTCAAGGAACGGGATTTTGTACAAGCTTTGGAAATATTCAGAACTGCATCAAAGAAATGCACAGCTCCATCACCATGTTATTCTAACTTGAAAGACCCAAACTTTTTAACTGCTTGGGTCAAAAGGAGTAATTTATGCAAAGCTGAATTACATAACTGAATAGCACCAAGCTCTCTTTAGGAACCCATGTAAAATGTAAGGGGAGAGGATAGTGTTTACCTATCATTTCTGTTACTTTCGGCATATTTCCTTGTGGGTAGTAGGAAATAACTTGTTTAGAAATTTGCACAGGACACCTTTGCCTCAACCTCAGTTAATGCAGAGGTGGATGTTGCTGATCAACTGTTTGAGCTCCTCTTGAGAACTGTGGGGATGCTTTTGTGGCAGATTCAGATCTTAATTAGATAGAGTGACATAGCCTTTCCTAATAAATTTCCCTTGCCAGCTAGTTCCCTAGTTTTTGCATATGGCAAATCGTAGCTGGTACTGTGCCACTGCTTTCCAGTAGGAGGGTGTTTTAGGAGGAGAAAGGGGTATGATCATACCATGCTGCATACTGACAATCTCTTCTCAATGCAACTAGCCCTAAGGGGCTGTAGCAGCTGCCAGGGCTTACAGCTGCTCCAGGTTTTTCTATCATCTCAAGGTCTGACAGTGCAAAGGGGAGTTTTCGTTTTTCAGTTTAGTTTGTTTGACTTAAAGACCTGGTCCTCAGTTGTAGTTTTGGGACCTGATTCTTTGCTTGCTCACCTTGTCTATATCAGTGGTAACTTCCTGGACATCAGTGGAGCACTACGATCATGTTGTAAATGAAAGAAAGCCTCTGTAATGTGCAGTCAATGGGAAGAGACTCAAGCCCTTTCTCCAGCAGGTGGCTCATTAAATGGAGGCCTTCTGATTTGTTCTTAGTTTGGACCCTGTGCGTTGACTCAGCTCCTCCAATATTTTAGTGCTGCTGATAAATGCAAAGCAATACTATGGCCATGAAGTAAAACAAAACAGAAGTGTGAGGCTCCTGCCATCAGGCACTTACAAGCTTGCTGTATTTAATTGGAGCCTGCTTAAAATGGCACCTATTCATGCTGGCTCAATTTATGTGCTGAAGGCTGCCATGCTGCCAAGGTAAGTGAGCAGCTGGGCAACAGCTCCCTAGTGAACCAGCAACACAAAAAAACTTGACTCTGGTTCAAGAAATTAGAAATGGTGCAAGGAACCATTTCTCAGGCTATTTCAGAGTCACCAGGTAGTCCTAGAAATAACTGGAGGCGGAAAAGACGATCTAAGATTAGAAAGTCACTTCTCCAATTCTTTGTTTTCATTCTGCTTAAAACCAAACGGTCGGGGTCCTGGCTGTTCTCTGAACTTGTCAACACATTCTGACCCTCAAGGATTCTTGTCCATCACTTACTCCTTAAACAGATGACTGAGATGAATGATTAAGAAGCGATCTTTTAAACCACACAGTTATTAATATTCACTGATTCACATGGGTCCTGTACTTTGGGGTTAGGCTCAAGTGGAAAGTTCCCTTTGTCAAACAGTCACTATGAGCTTGCTCAGACTGTTCATGATGTCTTATATTCAGCTCCCTTTCTCCTGCATATTTTTAACAGCACTCCCTATCACTGTACTACAGCCTGTTTTCCATAGAACAATTATTTGGATACAAAGGCAGTCCAATTTCTAGAGTGAGTTCAAAACTTGTATAAAATGCCAGATTGACAGAAGTGCAGGTTGGCAGCCTATGGAAAACTGGGTATAGCATAGATGTGCTCTAAGCTTTCACCTGTTTTCTTGCCAAAATCTTTAGATCCCAGTTTAAAGGGGCCAGTTCTGGGCATGGAAG